AGAAAGAGAAAAAAAAGTGTGAGAGAGAGAGAGAGACTGACTGACAGAGAGAAAAGGAAGATAGACAAACAGATAATAAAGAGAGTGTGGAGAAAAGGGAGATAGTGAGAGAGACAGAGAGAGAGAGAGAGACAGAGAGAGACAGAGAGAAAGAGAGAGAGAGAGCCAGAGGGAGAGAGAAAGAGAAAGATTGATAGAGGATGATTGTAAGGAGAGATGGAGAGTTACAAGAGAAAGAAACTAGAGATGAAAAGAGTACAAAGGAGGAACAGTGGAGAGATTGAGATAGACAGTGAGACAAAGAGCAAAAGAGAAATAGAGAGAGAGAGAGAGAGAGGGGGGGAGAGATAGATAGATAGATAGAGAGAGAGAGAGAGAGAGAGGGAGAGAGAGAGAGGGAAAGAGAAAGAGAAAGAGTGGATTGGAGAATTGATGGGCCAAAGGTAATGCAGTAGAGAAACATAAGAAAATAGACAGAAGGGAAATGAGATTCAAGATGCAGAAGTTGTGATTAATGTGACTAAAATTAATTAAAAGTATTAAGAACAATTTAACAAAATGTGCTGAGAGAATCTTTCAGGATTTATACATTCAAAAGGAAATTAATTATGGAAATGATTAATCATAGAAATTAAGGTCATACAAGAGGCAAAGGAGATTCAGAGTTTGAGATCTCACTGAAATAAGTCTACTTGGACCCACAAGGGTGAAAACTTCCTTTTGACTTTCAAACATACCACGTAACATAAAACAGTGATTCAAGAGAAAAGAGTGAATATGTGGAAAAGTAGTCCAGAAATGAAAATTTAATTCGATTTTATGGCATGTAGAGATTAATTTTCTTTAAGAAACTATACTATAATCATTTTAATTATTTGACTTTGAACTTTTTTATTGAAATTGTCATTTACATCATCATCATCATGATCATTACCATTATCATAAACATCATCATCATTACTATCATCATCATAATGATTATCATCACCACCACCTTCCTCCCCTCCTCCTCCTCATCTCCTCCTCATCTCCTCCTTCTCCCCTCCCCTCCTCCACCCCTCCCCGTCCTCTCCATCTCCTCGCCTCTTTCCCCTCCTCCTCATCATGATCCTTTATGCTTTGATTACATGTAATGTAAAGTATTTCACATTTACATTAACCCATTATTTCAACAGATTTGCAATGTCTTTGAGGAGTGTCATTTTTCAATCTAAGATATCACCTGAAATCAGTACGCAAGCAATGACACAGGAAACAAAGTATCCCAGACACAGTTGTTGTATGTTGCAATTTTTTGAAATTTATTCAAAATAATATCACATGTTTGGTGAATTGACATCAATAAGTTACAAACAATTTCATATTCATTTTAATTCATCTTTTTTTGTTGAATAATATATATAGTGGCAATTTGTGAAGAACGATAATAACATCAGCTGAATATAAAAAAAAGTCTATTTTATATTTTGTATGCAAAGAGGCAGAAGAGTTAATTGGAAGTCCACCCTGATATTAAGTTGATTTTAGTAGAAGCAGAAAAATAAGAGGAAATGGTCAGTGAAAGTGTGAGCAGAATCGGATAAAAAATAAGAAAGTTCTAAATAATTGAAGTTGCGATCAGACAAACACATATCGGCAACTCTGTGATGTATCTTGGGAGGTTAATTCTCTCCTATTTGCTCTGTGTAAAAAATCAACAACAAAAATCAGAAGTGTCTATTTTCCCTAATATTATAAAGAAAATGTTTGATCATACATCCACCCTAATTATAATTATTGCAAATATGTTTCTATACGACCTCCATTTGAAACAAATCTATTCCATCATCAGTAAGACAGAAAATGAAACTTTATCAAATTTCTGTACAGAGCAAATTGAAGAGGATCTCGCAAGATACTTCACAGAGGTTGTCAATTAGTGTTTCACTGATGAAAACTTCAAAAATTCATACCTTTCCTACTTATAATCAGACATTTCTCAAAAATTCACCAATTCATTTCTGTTGTTTTTCTGCTTAGATAGCAGCTAATTATCAAGGTGGTCTTCCCCTTTAAGTCTGTGTAAAATGGTATGGGGTGGACACCCTTCTGTCTATCTGCAGACAAGTAGCAAGTTTACAAATACAGTAGATTTAAAGACAGATTACTATCAAAATCATAAATGACTATACACTAGCTGTGTCATAAAAAGTATGCTTGATTTAAGTGACTGTATCAAGTCATACATGGAGTGAGGAAGTGCATTTGAAATAATTAGGGGGGAGAGAGAGAGGGAGTGAGAGAGAGAGAGAGAGAGGGAGTGAGAGAGAACATAACTTTTGGAGGGAGAGCAAGAGAGAGAGAGCATAACTTTTGGAGAGAGAGGGAGAGAGAGAAGAGAAGAAAAAAGAAGAGAAGAGAAGAGAAGAGAAGAGGGAGAGGGAGAGAGAGAGAGAAGGAGGAGAAAGAGAAGGAGAAGGAAAGAGAAGAGAAGAGAAGAGAAGAGAAGAGATGGACAGAAAGAGCAGACAGAGCAAGGGGAGAGGAGGGAGAGGGAGAAAGAGAATTCATATATAGCTAAGTGAAATGAGCAAGTGCAAGGGATTTTATTTGACAAATAACTCCTTATGTGATTCAAAGGCCACATTATGAAACAAGAACTTATATATAAGAAACAGATTCTCTTAAAGTTGCAGGTCATATTGATGAACTGTAGCAAATGTAATAACAGTAATCACAGTCATAATTTCAAGATTAAAAAATATACTTCTGAACGGCAGTGAACCTCGTTAGAAGACTTAGAAATGTTTTTACAATGCGAAATGTTACATCATATCTTCAGAATGCAGGAAAAGTTTTGCAGATACTTTTAAAATAGAACTGAATACGATAACCATTCGCAAGGCCCACCAAATCACGGATCCTTCATTATTTGTGATAACTTTTCCTTCACTTTACTACTCTCACCACTACCAAAGTACAAGATGAAGATACATAATGGAGAGACAGCATAGCGTGTGTAGAGATTCAGGGTATTGCTTGAGAAGAAAAAAAAAAGAGGGAAAAAAGCAGTATTGAATTTCATTCTGAAGTTTGGTGGTGATCTTTTAGACAGCTGTGCGATCGCGTACGGCATGTGGCAGAGTCGCGACGCAGCCCCTGGTAAACCCATCCCAGCTCAGTTACGCTCTCTCGTTTAATCAAAATCTTAGCCGAGCTTAATGGGAACACCAGCTTCAAGAAAGCATGACTGAATCATATTAAATAACTGCCAATTTGGGGGAAATCATTTTCGTTACGCGACCCCTTAAAGAGACAAGGTGGAAAGAAAGTAGCGATAACCAAAAAAAATGCTCTAGATTTTTTAAAATGTGGATTCTGAAGGTAGCAGCGAGTTTCTCAATATTTTACCATTATTTTTATTAAATATAGATTTCTTCATACAAGAAAAAACATGATAGAAATAAAGTATTTGATTTTTGTGAAACAACTAAAAACAAATAATTGATTTTGAAATTTCATATCATTGATATAGTGAATCTTCAAGTTATGTGCCATCTAACAATGCAGTTGTTTGACATAATGTATATCCATTCGCATGTATCATACCATTTTGCAATACCATTCAAGTTATTTTTTCAACGTGCAGATCTACATTTCGATTGCTGATCCTGTAATTTACCATTTTTTCACAATATATCACATTCATTGCAAATATATACAATTGCATCAATACTTTATATCTTTTTTGTAAACAAAAAATGTACACCTGAATATAATCCCTTTTTTAAATTCACGCCACCCTCAAGACTTCACTCTGTCCCTCTGACGTTGTGATACCGAGATCTGCCAAACCATGCGGTTGTCGGGGATTGCGCCTGCTTTTTTGGCACAACGCCTTTAATATGTGATGAGCAAAATTAATTTTTCATGACAAAAAATGCAGATGTTGACATAATCTAATAAATTAAGCAGAAGCTTTGACATATATTGCACTCAATGACAACAACAAGGCATTTGATGCTCCCTTCGTAAGTCTTCAACAATCATAATTGTCCACTACCCGAAGCCTGGCTTCCCCATTAAATAATTATTTTATTACAGTGGATAGGAAATAAGTTGTAAAATTCAATGGACTAATTGCCTATAAATTGAATTAGAAAAAGGTATGTGTGATGGGTTTATTACTGCCATAAATTGCATGACCATATTACAATCTTCAGAGTGATGTTAAAGCTGTATATCTTACGTTTTTGATGGAAAATATGTTACAAAAGAAGATGTACATCAATATGATGGTAACAACAGTTTTGTTTATGGTAGCAGAGAAAGAGGACCAAGGTTATTGATTTTTTTTTGAAAATTTGATGTTGGAAACAGTTTATTTGTGTATAGGATATTTTTTTTTTAAAGGATGGGAATAGAAATGAAAAAATGGAGAAAGGAAATGCCTTTGTCAGTACTCCAGAATGTGTAACATTTGGCGCAGTTTGAAAAATATAAAAAACTTTGTTTTGGATGTGCATTGATATCTTGAATAGACAAAAAATGGTTGTTCTTCATTACTATATTTAATATTGGATCTAACTTTGTATATATCCTCTCTTTGAAGTTATGCGGTCCATTTTACAAAAAAAATTGGAACGTAAGAAGAATTTCGGTTGTTAAAAGAAATGATGAATGAAAACGAAATGTTTAGGGTCTCCTGTTAATGTGTCATTGTCTGAGAAGCAGAAGGGAATTGAATATTTTAAAGAAAATAAGTTAAGACCCTTTTAGCCCTCAACAAATTATTTCAACATGTCTGCCATTTTTGTAACTATGAACAGCCTTAAGCTGGGGTAGTAATGTGGAGCCGACAGACATGAGCGCTATACAAGAACCCACTATTATTATAATTATTATTATAAGAAATGTAAACAAAATTGGACATAAACAAAGTTATTATAATCAATTATTCTGATAGTATGAGATAATTATATATCAACTACTTGGTATGATTTAGACGCGATCCTCCGTGCTACATTTTATGGAATGTTGTAACATGGTTTTATTCTGGACTTCACTTGTACACATTAAAGAGGCACATAATGATCAATCGTAATCATATCATTTACAACTTATCCTGCCCACCACTAAGGCTGAATTATCAACAAAACATGAGTTGGTATTTAACATTAACAAACTTGCAAAATTGTGCTTAAACTTGTGAACTTAATGCTAAAATTTGACAATTTCCAATTAAATTAGAGAACATATAAATTGAGCCTGCTCATTGATAAACAAGAAGGTGGCAAATTGCAACTCTTTCTTTCACATAAATTAATTAATACACAACATATTTCAAATGTAAAACAAAATCACATGTACAAAAATTGATCCGTCTGCATTTCATCAAAAATAAGTGTTTGGATAGTATATTTACTTATGTACATAACATATTTTATATAAATGCTAAATCATTTTATACGTTTCTGCTTATTATAATGCAAGTGGTAGTTTTATAATGCTGGTACTCGGCTCATTCTTTAAATTCAACTTGTTTAATGCAGCTATGTATTAGGCTCCACGCTTTGACATAATGTATATTATAGCATAACTGAAGAGACATTACACTGTGCCTCTTGTATGTTGATGAAAAACAACCAACAAAGATAAATTTTCATCAGATTTTCTCATTTTTTAAAATTATATACCAAATATTTTATTGCCGTAATATGCTTGCGCATCTCAAAATTTATATCATAGTGATATTACTCTAGTCTGTCATCATTTTAGGCAGATTTCTTTCAGGTTTTTATGTAACATTACAGATGATTTCTTGGAACTTAAAAATACAGTGTATATGCACTTCTATGATCAATGCAATTTACCATTCTTTCAGTTAAAATTTGTTTCTTCACAATTGGTAATTTCTCTTCCATTTCATCTAATGGTGGACTATTCTGTTGCAATGCTAATGTGCATATCCGAACCCGCTCTGTAAAAATAAGAAGCAAAACAAAGCTTGCATTTAGTCCACAATGAAGATGGTGACGCTGCATGCTCTCCAAGTCTGATGGGTGTTTTTATTGGAGCAGTTACGGTGTTAGAATCCCCATTCTGTTTATGCATCATTCAACAGAGAGGCATTAGACGGGAATGCAACACTTTAGCACAGCATAGTACATCCATATGAACCTGTTTGCTCTTCAAACGTATGACCATCAGTTGAAGAAGCTTTAAGATGTATTATAGTCTCTGGTTTATAAACGGGTTTTTTACTGAAAAGGAATTTCCCTTATAGAGTTTGTGATATA